AAAAAAAAAAAAAAAAAAAGAGCCTGGTACATGGCTATCTAAATTGTTGCCAGTAAGATACTGAGATATTGCTAGCAGTGCTAGCTATTGCTTCGTCCTTTCCATCTTCATGGCAACTATATTCTTTCCTTATATGGGAAAAAAGAGACAAGGAACCAGAGAGAGGCAACACAAGAGCATTAGGCCAGAGGCTACAGTGACAAGTCCTCTCTCTACTGCTCAGGTATAGTTTAGGTTGCATGAGTTTTACAGAGTTCCCACAAACTTTCAAAGCAACTGCAAAGTAATAAGGAAGCAGTATGTGTAAAAGAAGGTTTAGCTGGTCCAAGATAGAGAAGAGGTGTGGGGGGGAGAGCAGCTGTGCAATTACTGTCTCCAAATAAAGTGTATTGACAGTTGGACCTCTAATAACCATCTTTAGTCTAAATAGCAATTAAATTCTCTCAGTGACCATTACAAATGGTAATTGAAGTGTCTCTTGTGAGCTTTTACTGATTCAGGTATCTGCACATAACTGTAGGGGCCAAAAAGGAGCTGTAGTTAACAAACACCAGCCTAGGGGAAAATGCAAGCATTTCAGAGCTAGCCAAAGAAAAGTACAGAGAAGACAATGTCTGGATATAAAAGCTGAAGCAATTCACCTGACAGAAGGATCTGGAGTTCAAAAAGAAGCCAAGCACAGTGTGCAGGGCAAACACAGCACAAACAACATGTACTAGCTGATGGAGAAGAATGTGAAGCATGGCCAGAGGCACTGGAAGAAGGCTTCTGGTTCATGAGACAAAGCAGAGCTATGACCAGGTGACTGAGGTTACAGTAATCAATGACACAGACCATTACTGGCGCAGACTTGTAAATCAGTGCACTCAGACAGCTCACATGAAGGCTGCTCTATTTGTATTTTTCTTTCCGAATAACCGTTGTCTCCATTAAAAGTGCAAAACCTGTAGCCTATTAACTCTGCAACCCCCTAGTCACGAACAGGGGAGAGAACGAATCCCGCGGAGGGATTGGCTCCGTCCCGCCCGCCACGCTGCCGCTGGCCAATCCCAGAGGCCGCTGTCTTCTCGCAGCCAATAGGTTGTCTCCGCAGCCTCTGCCGCGCTCCTCCCGCTGCAGCTCTCGCCAGCTGTGGCGGCAGCCGCCGCGGGTTGAGAGCTTCGCGCCAGGCGGTGGCCGCGGCAGCGGCGGAGCGGCGGCCTTGCTCGGTAAGGAGCCGCGAGGTGGGCCGCTGCTGTGGGGGTGCAGCGCTGAGGCGGAACCTTGCCCGGTGGGGGCGCTGCTCCGGCCTAAGCTGGGATTTAGTGGTGTTTTTGCCAGGGCCCGGTCTTTGCTAGTTAGCGTAGAGTGGTAATCCTCCCTGGCATGATGCTGTGGGTGTGAGGGCAGACAGGTTTCCCTCACCACCTTGCAGCGTCCGATCTTGAATTTCTGTAATCGAATTTTTATTCTTTTGCGACTTCAGATAAATGATGCAGCACAGAGCAGTGGTTTTGCACAGCATCTGCTAAGGGGTTATTTCCTGTTGCTATACAGTCGTGTAACGCCTTACTGTTCTGTGTAGGTGGCATTGCTGCAGGTTTTAAAGTGTGTAAGTGTGCAGAAAATGTAAGATTGTGATTATCGCTGGATGAAAAAGCAACTCCTTTGCCTGGAAGTATGGGTAAAATAACATTTCAAACTGTGTTTTTCATATGCCACACACTGTATTGTCTTTATACATCTGAATGAAAAAAGCTGTTGATTGAAGCCTGGATATTGGTCATAGGTCACAGTGTGAGGTTAGCCGTTTGAGGACAAGATGTTTATGCCCAGTAGTTGTTTATGACCACAGCTCCCTGCTGTATGACTCGCTCTGTTTTGAAATCTGCTGTCAGGTAAACTGAGCTACCTAGTAGATATAATTAGAAAACACAAAAGATTTGTGGAATTGTGTTTCTGATTACCATCGGTAACAATAAATAGCTGCTGGATGGGCTCTGTTCGTAGATTAATATACCTCTGAGTGTCAAACAAGTTTTTTATTGTTGGTGGTTTTTCACACTGTAATGGCATTAGAATAAAGCATGAGACTGCTCACTGAACCAAATTCCCATCCCAGATGCCAGTAAACTTTTGTATTGTTTGAAAACAAAATTCAGAGCATCCAGTATCGACTGACCACTTCGTCATCTGTAACTTCGTTATAAATAGAAACTGCACTTCTGAAAACTGTTTCACATATATTTTATTATAAATGCTCGTCAATACAGAACCAAAGTCATCTTTATAAATACCTACCCAATAACACAAACAAATGCAGGTAAAAACCATTCTTTAGCATAAACAGAACACTGTTTTGTATGAGTCTGTTATCAGGGAAGTTTTTGTTTGTTTGTTTTAGTACATTTTAAAAATTCATTTTAACATTTATTGCAAAAACAAAGCTCTGTTGATCTAGCAAATAGAAAGACAGCAAGGGTAGAACATAACCCTTTTGTCTGATATAAATGTGGAATAATCCCACTGTAGTTAAGTGAAATATTCTGCATTTAGCACTAATTTAACCGAAATCAGAAACTAACCTAATGCATTTCAAAATTCTTACTTCACTCTTTTTGCACTTTACTTGGCCACTTAACAGACAGCACAAGTACTGAATGAATCATTAAATTATTCCTGTCACTATTAGAATTGCTGTCTTCCAGTAACAAGGCCAAAGAATGCTGAAATCTTGATTATCTTAAAAGTGTTCAGAGGATTTTGTACCTTTTAACTGGCCTTGTTTTTCTGCAATCCTAAATCATGCACGCAGCCTCACACAGAACAATCCCAACTGTTGCTGTTCATCATAAAAAAAGAAATGAATCCAGGACTCCAGTAGAGCCTCGGCCACTTTTCCTGAGCAAAATCACTTCAGATTCAACTGCTACAAACACTGCTGTGCAAGACAGTGATGTCTAGGGTCATCTCAGTAAGTGGGAGGTGGTATTCGCTTTCTGCTCTAAGGGGACAGCGCCTAGGTTCTGTTTGTTGAAGCACTCAAATTTGTTGATTTTGATGCCCCAATGATAGTCAAGCTTATATTTGCTAAATAGAATTTTCCTTTACTTTCCTACTGAGGTGGGTCTATGTTTTCTTTTATGCTGTGGTCGACAAAAAAGTGAAAGGAAAAATGCTGTCTTATGGTGTTGAAACTGCATATTAAGAGAGAGCAGCTTCACAGCAGTTACCTGTCACTGGATAAACCCCTGTCCCCTGCCAACCTCACAGAGGAGTTGGAAATTAGCTTCCAGCGATATTACAATGCAAGAATATTCAAAACCAGCTTACTACTAAGCACCAAAATGACAGAATTTACCTTTCCCTACACTTTTTGTATATTTGAAACATAGTTTATTATTGACATACTATTGTCATCAACAATTCGAGAGATGACTGTTGATTATTATCATCAACAACTTGCTCAGTAGCACTTCAGTCAGCATCACAGCTAAATGTAAGCAGGATAGTAAAAAGCTTTACAGCAAAAAGAAAAAACAACCAAAAACAAAAACAACAACAACAAAGGAAAAATACATTGCATTTTGTTTGTAAAACACCAGTCTTCTCATTAGTATAATGTACTTGACCCTTCTGGCTGGAAAGATAGCCATGGTTTCATTCAAAGTGACGTAGATGATTATACAGAGACTGTACATAGGTGAAGACACACATGGGATCTGGCTTGTGGCCCATCACCATCATGTCATCCACTTCTATAAGACGATCACAGTGAGCCATTTTCCTGTAGTAATAATAAAACATCCATCAACAAGATTTCAAGCTAAGGCATATAACTACTCCCGAGATGTATTTGCTGCCATCACTCAGACATATAAGAATATCCTGAGGACTACTCATATCATTTTATTGGATAATGAAATGTTAATGTTAGGTAGTGGTGGAAATACTAATTTTAGTGCTAATGGAAAACTCTGATTTTATCCAAGGCATAACAGGAGTTTTTTTTCACTGCTAGTCACATCCCTGGTGTCTGTGGCATATAGCCCAGTATCCAATTCTTCTACCCAAGTTTCAGTGAATGAGAGCATTTGATTTTTTGATTTTTTTCCTATAACAATGCATGCCATGATTTTTTTTTCCTCATTCTGAATAAGAAGGTCAAAAAGAACAGGAAAACATGTGAAGAGATGGGATACATTAATAATGAACTCTCTGGCTCTGGATTTGTTTTGTTCCCCCACTCTTCTTTTTAATATCCCTTTTCCTATGGTTTGAGTGATTTGGACAATTTCCGATGTTCATCGTGTCGGACAACAGAAGCCAGACTGACATCTGGACCAACAGAAGAGAGATCTGCTGAGACCTGAACCTTCTGTTCTCTCTTATTTTTGTTTTTATACATAAACTTTGATAAGCAAAAAACTGAAACCCACATTAATTCCTTTGATAAGACCTCAAATAAGTACAGCCAAGACCTTCAAAGTTTCTTCTATAATGGCCAATGATAAATCCAACTCTTAAGTTTTTATAAAAAAAAAAAAAAAAAAACAGAAGAAAAGAAATACTGCTCTGAAACAAACCTACAGATCTGGTGTGGAGGTACCAGTCTTTGAAGATATTTCAGAAGTTTTAGGAAGCTGTAGCCATGTATGCCTGTATCCTGTAATTAACTGAAAAGAATGCTGACCCAGCTGTATACCACATGGTGTGTTCTTATTGTTACACAAGTAAAACAAAGAGCAAGTATGATTCATGCTGATATTGGGACAAAAATTAACATTTATTTCTGTTGTTAAACAAAATGACCGACAAGTTGAGAAGTTCTAACTTCTAATGACTTTAGAAAAAAAACAAAACTTCCTTTAATTCCCCGGTATATTGCATCAAAAAGAATCAGAAGACTGTGACTCAGGTATTAGCATCAAGTTAAGATACTGAGAAGCTCTCAGCCCTAGTTTAATTCAACGTACTTTGAACTCAACCTTTGCACTTGCTAAACCAATCATTGTTATAAGTGGATGTGAAGCTTACCTCAAAAGTTAAACTACTTGCTTTGATTTTTTTTTCTTCCCCCTCAGAGAGACTAAGTTTGTTTACATGCATCAAATTCAAATCAGGCATGTAGTAGGTGGGATTGCCAAACAAGCTCTTAAGAAGCTATATGTCCAGTTCCTGTTGTTAGTAAAACTTAGATAGCTTGTGCTCTGTAAACTCAGATACCTTCTTTTATGATCGATATTGGTAAAATTATTAAGAAACCTCCATCACTTGCAGAACAAAATGGTTGGAAGACCATTTTTTTTGCTCCAATGTCCTAATCCAGGTGATTTCTCAGGTTTAGTGCATCAGTGCGAAGGCTGGTTTAAAGTAAATGCTGCTAAAGTCATCGAATTTAAGTCATGTGTTTATGCTGCAGGAACTACAGAATTATATTATATAATGACACCAGTAGGCTTGTCTAGCACCAGCAAATGTTTGCCCACCTAGAGAATCACAAAATAAATGTTTTACATGGGTAGCATGATTGACTTTCCATTGAGTATAGCATTTTGCTGCCTCTGTCTGATTCTTTATACTAACTTCTATTTTCAAGCAGTCTTTATAAACTCTATGAAGGAGTCATAGTGCATTTTAAAGAGTTTTTGATGCTAAGAGCATTATAGAACTATAAAGAGAGTATTAGCGTTTTTCAATAGAATACTGCAGGCTCTGCTTTTCTCCTTTACAGCATCTGCTTTCTCATAGGTGCCCATGGTCTTAATCATGCTGACAAGACTAAAGCTTTGTTCCTGGTATATAATCCCAGAAAGGAAGAGAGGAAACAACATTACTTCACATTGCACACTGACCAGCACATCTACAGGTATCCAGCAGACCTATCTGCTGATCTTTGATGTTGAGTGCAGTTAAATCAGCTCTACCTTTTACTGAAAGTCTGTGTTTCATGTGGAGCAGGGCTTTTCCTGAAGTATCTGCTCAATAGCCTATCAAATACAAACCATTCTGAGATTTTTTTTATCAGAGTAATGCCAAAATATTTAGTTATTCAAATGCTGTATTATAGGCATGCAGAGCCAGCCTCTGCGGCAGACTGAGTCGTCTGCATCAGTCTGTCCAAGTACAAAGAGCTGAACTGAGTTTGTCCTAATATCACTTACTAAAGATTCAAACCTGTAATTTTGCATCACCAGAGCTTGTTTTAACATCAGCTTATTCATGAAGTTAACTATTATGATATTGAAGATGTAAGTCTTGTGGTCTATGTGGTAACTGCAGTCACAGATGTCAAATGGAGCAGTTTTTGTCTGCAGAGCTAGCTAAACATCATTATGAAAATAACCAAAATGCAGTTGCTTTAGCATCTGCTTCTGCATTTCATAGCCATAGAAAAGCCAGAAGAAATTCAAGGCAACTGCTCAAATAGGAAACACAAAATCACAGAAGGCACGCTGATTATCTACTGGCAACATACAGTATGGGAGCAGCCGTTCCATTAGCAATTTCCTAGGGAAAAAGGCTGCAGGTGAAACCATTTGGCTGTTCCTGTTTTTTACTTTTTTTTTTTTTGTCATGTTACATGTATCCTTGTGACATGTAAACTGTCACATGTAGGATCTACCAGAGGAATGACTAAAGCCCTTGGTAACGCCCAGTCTCATGAAACTTGGACTTAAACATTTCATAAGAGATCTAATATGGTACTCACTCAGCTGTGGTAAAAGCCAGTTCAAAGTTCTGCTTGCGATTAGCTGGGTCAAGCTTATTGTAATCAAAAGCTTCAGGAAAGAAAGAATGCACCAGGGCACAGAATGCCATCCCATCATTCCAGCTTGAGGAGAAGTTCTGGAGATCAATGTGCTGCAATGGTGAAAAAACATGCATGTTAATGCAGCACAGGGAACTGGGTAGACAGCTGCTTTTGCTCACTGCTATATTCTGTCCTGCTCTTCACTAACCAGAATAAGCATACAAAGCACAGGTTTTACGTTTTTCTCCCCCTCTCTGTATATCCATTATTTATATCCTAAAAAAAACTGACATCCTCAGCAATGGCATGCTCTTACGTGAAATGCACAGTTGCAAAGCAGACACACATTGAAAGTTCCTGAGCCAAAGCACATGGAAAATACTGGGGAGACTTTTGTTAACTTTGGTGAACTCTGGAGCAGGCTCAGTGTGACAGTTCAGTATCTGTGTGAATTGTGGCAACTGTTTATCCCTATGTAGTATTTGCAATTGAAGAATAGTCCATTTTGTGACAGTGCATAACACTGGATAAAGACCAGGATTACTTGCTTTGCTATTCAACAAGACGTATTGCAATTGACTTGAATGCTTGTTTACACATAGAAAGATGGAAATGTGGGAAGAATTAGGCCTACTGGAAACCTGACTCTTGGTACTAAAGCTTACTGTCCATTTCTATTTCCTCACTGAAATGAAACATTACTTGGACTCTTGCTTCATGCTGCCTTCCCATCATATACACTGCCTCCCCATCCTTACTCTTTATGTTAAGCCTTTTTCATCAGGTTTGCTTATTTATACTTTGTTTTAGGGTTTGGCAACAAGAATGTATATTTAAAAAAAAGTGTTAAAGAACACACAATGTGAAAGAATTGATTATTTTTTCTAGCTTTCCTCCTTGAAAAATGCTGTGAGATTTGCAGCAGCCAGGTAAAATTCATAATCTCCAACAGCCAAATTCTCTTCTTAGTTATGCTGATAGAACCATATAGAAATGAGCTTAATGAAACTGGGTGATTCAGTCTCCACAGTTTGTTACAATTTAACTTCTGTAACTCCAGTGGAGCATATTTTGGTCTGCTGTGTAACAAAGGGAACATAGTCTCTATACACTATTAAGCTATTACCCAAGTCTTACCATATATAACAAGAATGCAAAAATCACAGTCTGAAACTAAAACAAAAAATAAACCAAACAAAACCAAAAACCACAAGGGTATAGTAAGGTCTGTATTTATATGCACAGAAATGGAGTCTTTCAGCCAACACTAATGCATTGCTTGGATAGGCATACAGAGTATTTCTCATGCAGTGATTCACTTAGTGTTGCTCACATAGCATCATACAGAACTTCATCATCCTGGAAAACAGCGATGAAGGCAATTCACTGTCAAACATGTTTTACATACACTTGTTGAGCACACTTCAGGGTAAATTATTCTGAAAAATAGCAGCTGAAAATGCTAGCATATCTTCACCTTGTATCCTATGGTTTTTGAGCGACACCAGTCTAAAAGAATTTGTTTAATGCTGCTAGCACTGGCAACACCAAAACTCTGCGACCTCTTCAGCTTAGCTCTGGTTTCTCCTTTTCCTCTGGAAGATTAACACAGACACCAGATAAAATAACATTTCAGGAAAAAAAACAAACAATCTTAAACATACTCATCAACTGCATCTACGCAACCTCACCCAGGCCAACTTCTGTTAGTCTTGCAAGACAAACTCATTTTGATTTCACTAAAGACAGGTCTACAAGCCATGTTCTATTTAAATCAGACCCTGATCATAGTGCATAAAAGATAGAACATGCATTTCACCCTTAATGAAAGCCAATGTATTTCCAGGTTCGTTTTAAAAAGATGCTGAAGAAGGGTTTTCACAAAACTCAGAAAAGAGGTATACACTTCTTCAGCTAAACAATTCTAAATCCAGAACACTCTGTACCTATGAATTTCCAGAGCTCTCTGACATCATGAGTGCTATCCATTACCTCATGACCCCTTAGCTCAAAATATTACTTTGAAAGAGTCCTCCTACACTAGCTATCGTCTGCTGTCAACAATTTACAAAATAGCTTCCAATTACCAAGCCCATTCTGGACGTAGGAGTAGGAGTAGGGTGAGGATAACATACTTTGCACTGTCTTGTTCAAATTTTTCAAGAAGTGCTTTCCTGGCCTGTGTTCCTGAAGTCCGTGGAAGTGTCTGAGATCGCACCAGTTCTCGCCTCCTTTCAACTTGGTGATGTGCAGTAGGAGGAGGGGAGTGAGATGTGGGGGCTACATCATAGCAACTATCAGTGGCACTGCAGAAATGTAACACAGAAAATATGCGTTTAAAAAAAAAAAAAATCTGCTGCATGCAGGGGTCAACAAAAAGGTCGAATTGTTGGTTGCTCTAAACCTCCCCAAAACAGTTTCAAGAGGAATTGAATGAGTCAAAAGCAATTTAAGTAAAACCCAAAGGTTTATTAACAGACAACAGCATTTAAGTACTCAAATGTCTAAGGCACTTCTACAAATGAGACACTGTGCCCAAGTCACAAAGGCCTTGTAACAAGAAGTAGAAAAATTAAGGACTAACCCCCCCCAAACACACACACACATCTACTTAGAAGCACTAAATACCTTTAATTTTCAACTCCTAGGGTCCTAGAGGATTTAAATCACATTTAAAAACATAGAACTTGTCAGGCACTGAATAGAAATTCAGGAGTTTTGAAATTTCTGCAGTGTGCTGAATTCTGATCTCATGCAGTGAGGTTTTTCATTGAAAGCAAGTTGATAATTTCATCCAGAAGGCAGTGGATTGTATTTAACTTGAGCTTATCTGAACCCTAAAGCATTTCACCAACATTAATGAGATAAACCACACAGGGCATGTGGAAGTGCTCCCACCATTAAAGAGAAGGAGAAATCGAGGCAAAGAACAAGGAAATTGAAGTCGCACGCTTATTTCTGTTGCAGCTTGAGAACAAGATACCCTGACAGGAAGTTTTCTAGGTTACTCAGTTTATCATGATACAAACATCAAAGGGCTGATGCTGGAACTAATTCAGAAGTAATTCCAAATCTGGGATAATTTTCAAGGCAGATACAAGCCCAGATTAGGATATTTAAAATATTCATCCTCCCACTTTTCTTAATAAATATTTTGTATGCCCAGGACACTTGAGTATTCCAGCAGTAATTGTGATACTGCGTGACACTGTGACCTTCAATCAAAAAATGTGTAGTACTCAGCTTTTGGAATAGGGCTGAGAGTGTTTGGTATCCTGCAAGGCATTTAGCTACAAGTTAAACTCTAGGCCACTCAGACTAAGAATATTTGATAGCAGACATGTATTTGTTTCCAAAAATAAGTCCCAAACACAAACTTGGACTATTTTTTTAAAGTGTCTTCAAAGGGCCTGACATGGCCATTAAGGGACCATTTGGGGACTTAAAAAAACCCAAATGCATCTTAAGGGTGAGGGGAAGATTAGATGAAAGAAGTCAGCAAAGTACCAATCAAAAACAAAAGCCTGTTTTTGTTAAAGACATTAACTAGAGTACATTATGATAGGAAGATATCCTTTGCTTGGGACTCATTCACCAAGCATTAATTAGCTTTCTCAAGTATATAAAGGAAAACAGCACCACTCTGCCTGGGTATTCAGGGTGGATACACCTATTGGGGATGTCTGATCACTTTTGAATGAAAACCTTCCATTCTTATGTGAAGTAAAGACAAGTTGTAGCTCCTCTGCAAACAGAAAAAGCTCACCACTTGCTCTACAATAATTGAGTGCTGGCAGAGTTTTATTGGCTAGTCGCATAGGTCTGCATTCCTTGATTATGTTTGCCTTAAGCTGTTCAATTGAATATTTTTACCTCTTCTCATCAATGCTCAACTTACCCCTCAGGAATGCACACACTCTTATTAAGCTTAAGTTATAGCAGCTGAGACTTACCTTCTAAGTCAGCAGAATATCTGTCTATTTAGATGAGGAGCACAACAGTCTAACAAAATGTTATGAAAAATGCCTACCTTTCACTAGTTTTGGTTCCACTACTCCCATAGTTCATGGCAGAGACAGATTTAGTGACACGAGTGGTTTTGGCTGTATAAAAAACAGGAAGAAATAAGCTACATCAGGTTTGAAATTTCGCTCTGTTTCATATGTTTTCAATCTTTTTCAGCCAAGCACTGATTTTAATCACCACATAGCCTCAGGCCTCTCCCTAACCTCCAGTATAATCTAAAAGCTGTGGAGATTTTTTCTCCGGGGCTTCGTTTCCTCTACAGAATTGCTGCACTGTGGGAGAATTCCCTTGATACCACTGTGTTAGAAGAGTCAGATCATTTCAGGCCTCCTGTGGGCCTCTGAGGACAGCACTCTGGAGGTAGTGCCATGGCCATTTCAGTGAAAGGAAGAAATGGTGTCTCAGGTCAGCTTTCAACAGTTATTCTGGCAGACATAAGTAAGTCCTGAGAAAGCTCTGTAGTCATGCAGAGCATTTAGTCATGCTCTGTAAATGTAGAATAACGGGGTTACTTGCCCAGTTTTAACACACTAAAGCCAGAACTCTGCACGTGCCAAGAACTCGTTTATTCTAGGCTCCTTCTGTAGACAAATAAGACTGTTATCTTAGAAGCAATACAGTGTAATTGTTCAAGTCCCTCTCTCTGGAAGCACTAATCTCTCCCAATTGCCTTTAGAAGGAATCCAGTTTTGCCAGACTTCTAACTAAAACCATCTGGTACATGTCTGCATAAAGGTATGTTTACAGTGAAGAAGTGTGATCACTGTTCCACATCAGGTTTCTGCTAAACTCACATTTGAGGTCACAGTCAAATGGTAGTTCATTGTGTAGACAATTAACAGCTTGGTATTTTTGGAATAGGGTTCCACTCATCTATTTAGACTAAAATCAAAAGTCCTTACGGCATTTTTTTCCTTTGCTGGATATATATGTGAAGGAGACTACTTGCTGCTATTCTGCTTAAAAGAAGCTGCATCAACACCCACAGGGTTGGACAAATACTTTCCAAATTGCATTTAGTCATAGATTTAATTAGGTCAGTTGAAATGTTGACCTGTTATGTATCACTTTTCTGGCATCTATTATTTCAAGAGCAGAGATCACCTAATAGTACAATCTCTGTGTAAATATGGATAAGCATCCCATGCTTTGAATCAACAGAGAATCTGATAGAGTAGAAGATGATGATACGCTGTAAAAAGAATCTGTGTTGTGGTCTGTAAATACTTAGAAATTAGAACTAGACATTCAGGTCTAAGTCCCCAGGAATGGAGCAGAGAGTCACTTTCAGCATGTGCTGAATAAGAAAATAGTGATTGGAAAACTCACCTGCAGTGACAGATGAACCCATTGTTCTCAATGAACTTGTGTTCCACGCATTTGCTGAAATGGAAGAAAAAAGACAAAGACTTTGCTACTTTCTTACCTGTAATGAAAGAAGAGGTAAAAAAAGAACCTGCAAAATCTCCCGCTCTCATTGGCAAATCCAGCTGATCTCTCATCTGTCTCTGTAATTTCTAACCTATATGCATACTCTGAGCTCCATATGCCACTCATCACTAAGTGTGCATGAAATACAGTTAAGAAATTAAAACCTTATTAACTTGAGAAGGAAACAAATGAGATGAGATTTATTAACTTTAATTTCAGTTTAGAGAGGAAATAAGATTCTGCAGTCACTCTGACTCTTGTGTGGATGTGTGTGTATGCTGTTGATCATTGTCTCCAAAGGACTTTTGAATCTGTTGGTCAGCATCAGCCTAACTTCATAAAGGGCCAGAGATCTCAATGCACTAAAAATTTCCTGCAAGTTTCATTAAAATAACTGGACAGGTTGAAAAGAAATATTTATTGAGTAACTGTGCTACAGGATAGACTGCACTGTACATTCATCTGTATTAGGGAGCAAGAATTTTTCATAGTATGTGACCTCAAGGCTTAAAGTTCCACCTAGACACATAGATTCCAAATCAGAGTAGGATATGTAGCCTTAGAAGTTAGAATACACTTCTCACAAGGACAAAAGACAACCCTTGCCCCCAGTTTCTTGGAAGAAGTGAAATCAGACACAGCTTCAGTGGTCAAATTACTTTTGTCTCTCTTACCTGACTGGTTGGAAGTTTTCACTACTGTCTCATTTTTGTTCTTGCTCTGTCCCACCACGCCAACAGACATATTAGTTGTTCCTGCTGAAGAGATGGTTTCTCCTGTAATTTTCTCTGATATCCTGGTTACTGCAGTAACAGGAAGGTGGGGCATTTGTAAAGCAACTGCAGGGGCGTGGGCTTCAGGAGAAGAGCCTGACATGTGAAAAGAGGTCAGTTCATGGGACATTTTTGCTTGACCTATGAATGAAAAGGAGAGGGGAAGTAAATTTATTTTCAGATTTTCAGAGTTACAAAGCAATTTTCATGCACAACTTTATTTTTACAAGAGGCTGCAGTTACTCTACCTAATTCCTCCTCTAGTACATTATATACCACTTACAGCACACTGCAGAAACTGAAATACAACCTTGGTTGTACAACTCTTGAAGTGTTATATACCTGTCCTACTTAAATCTCAGCTAGTGTGTCTTATTCAGATCATTAATCCACTGGCAGCTGCATCTGATCAATAACACCCTCCCGCATACACACTCCCCAAATTTCCTATTGTGGATTAGGAGTCAACATTCTTGTTATTTTCTTGGTTCGAGGAAGTGATGTGTGCCTCAGTTTTCTCTGAAACAGCGATAAGTACTTCCCCTGGTGAAGAATGAAATCACATTACTAATTTGCAAAATACTTTGAGAGGTAAGCCTACAATGGCACCCAGAATAGGAGGCATTACCTTTACTATTACCCTGACATCATGTAACCATAAGAGGCTCTAATTAATTAAATACTACAATGCATGCTTAACAGTGAAGTTTTAAAAATAAAATCATAACTAGGAAACAAAATTAAACAGTACAGTATTCATGCTAAAACCATATCAAATTCTAACGCTTGCAACATCCAAGGGCTGTTCTGTGCCGGCCAGGATCTGTTATTCTACAAGTAGTAGTGTTACTTCATTTATTTGCCATTTGTACCTGCTGAAGACTGATGTCCATTTTCAATGATGGAAGAACTACAAGCTCTTCTAAACTCAGGTTTGCGGTGGTCATCCAGGTCTACGCTCTGTCAGAACAGACAATGGACACAATAGCAGAACTCTGAACAGCAACAAGCGTTAGGGGAGTATCCAGAATCCCCAGCTAAGATCTTCCTCATGCTAGTAATTACAATACAGGATGAGAGCAATCCTCTGATCCAAAAGCCAAACCTGTGAAGTGACCCCTGGTGATGCAGGACTTGTGTCAGCCCTTACATCCAGTCTATTCAGAGTACATGGAAGTCCAAGATGCTGTAGTGGACAATAGCATCTATCTACATGTGAGAAACAGGTGAAGGTAGTTGCTATTAATTCACTCATATGTTTAGAAACAAAGCCATGGTTGTGCCTGGCAATACTCATTACACTCATAAGGAGGTGGAATAAATCCAAAGTCATTGCAAATTACAGTAGGCTAGGCATAAAAATCTCAGTTTCAATAAAGTAAATGGGGGAAAAAATAAATAGGACTAAGACTTTGCTGGAGCCCTAGGAGATGCATAGAAAAATCTAATAGCTATCTTTAGTTAATTTCTTTCTTTTTTTTTCATAAAGCACCTCCCCTTCCTAAATGTATCTAAAGTATTTTTTTTCTATAGTCAATACTGCTGTTTGTATTCAAATAATTCTAGGCCATTTTCCATAGAATTACCCCAAACCTATCAAAGGATGCATACTGCATATTACCTTACTCATACTAATATGCAGATTCAAGCTAACTGGACTGCCTACACATGCAGAGTTACACATATGCTTAAGTTATTGCAGGACCCAGGTATACTGGAGGTGCCAAATGTTGAGGGTGTCTATAACCTCAGAAGGAAAGGCTCAAGGTTTGCATAGTTTTATGAAGATAGATGTAAGAACAGTAGATGCCTTATCCTAGAGAGATGCACCTTGAAAAAAACTAAACTTGTTGAAGAGCCTCTTGAATTGGATTATTCATATGAACTAACATAACTATATGGCTTAGGTACTTTCAGGCTACTAAAAACCAAACAATTCTTCTGTGCAGTTCACATAAAACAAGATTAAGCTTACTCCATACAAATAACATTATGTTTCCAAGTTTCAGTCATCCTTTTCAGTTCTACTGCTCGCAGTTTAATATTTTTACTTCTATAATCTTTTATATCCTTTCAGGTAAAGCATTGAGATAATTTATGAGATAGTGTTTTGCTGTGTGAAATAAACTGTGGATTCTGTCTGTAACTTCTCTTAACTTAGGTTATAGAGAGCTTTATGCTTTTGTATTTATCAGGCACTGTATAAAATGCTACTGGTACGGAGTTTATTTCTGTTTGCTGCATAAAAAGTGGCAATTGACAAATTCCAATAACATATAACAAAAGAATAATAAGCAAATATCATCCCAGAACTTTACATCTGAATTACAACCTGCAGGTTCTGTAAGGATAGCTTTTTCTTGAAGAAGCACCACTTTTTTCCTAATTTGCCCATTTAATTCCATGAAAACTGTTTGTTTGTTTGTAAACAACAAGCATCTAAATGAGTTTGGCTGTAGGAGCTAAAAGGAAAAAAATGCTTCGCAGTCATATGATTATTTCAATTAAAAAAGGTCACTTTCCAGAAACAGATTGTAAATGCATTATAGTCAAATTGCTCAAGTCTGAATTTATTCTAAATAGTCAAGTAACTACCAGATAGCCTCTTAAGTAATATGCTCTTACATTTACTCAATCTAAACATTTTTTTTTTAAAGGCAGGCCGACAAAAAGACTGAAGGTAGATACTGAAGAAGATTGTATGTTGCAGGTAAGGGGAGAAAGGGAAAAAAAAGGGAAAGGGAAAAAAAGGGAGGAGAATGGGAGGGAAGGGAAGAGGTGTGTGTGTATATGTAATAATTTGTTGCTCCATTTGCTTTTCATATGAAGGAAACATTGGAAAATGTGGTGGCTTGATTTTGCATATTTATTACATAATTTCACTGTACACGGGTAGAGAAAAGAATGTTTCTTGGGTGGAAAAATACATCTCATGTAAAATACAGAACATATATAATCAACTCAAGATAAACCAACAGAAACAGTTTCCCAGTACTTATTTGCTATTTACATCTGTTTATACTCATCCAGACTTAATTGAGAACACCAAATGATGATTTCCAAGTACTGTGGAGATTTTAGCATATCTAATCTTGTTAGATGTTGCAGAATGCACAGGATATTTAAATAATGTCAATTATTTGAGACATTAGAACTCTCATTATTTCAAGTACAGCTCCTGTCCACTTTGGTCTGAAGTCCTGTTGAAATTTTATTAACTAGTATCAGACTACAGTAAGACAGCCTAAGCACAATTTTGTCCTAGAGTGCACAGTTGTGGTCTGCGACTGATTCTTCTGGGTATATAAGCAGCTCCCTCCAACTGTTTTCAATAAAAGGCAGGTCTAACATGTAGCATTTGGGCTCCACTCCCACACTAGTGAAGTCGGGGAATTACTGACTTGAATTTAAAGTTAGACCCTACATTTTCAGATCAGTTTTGGTTCCCAGACTTTTCAAGATTACAGCATAATTTGGAGAAACCATCAACCTGTGGTAAAGCCCCATCAGCCTGACTTATGTACTTACTCAACATGAGGACCTACTGCTTTGTAGACATGTTTCTTAAAAAGATGTATCACAATAAAACACATAAAGAAATTGTGGCAAGACACTGAAATATTCTGAACTACCTTTAAGGCTCAGCTTGGACTGTGTATTTTATTATGCTAGCTTGCGTACTATTTTTCAACCAGAGGTCAGATTTTTTTCATGTCAGTTTGTTCTACGCTGGATGATAAAAAGTAGCATGATCATCTGGATATGATTTTCAAACAAAAGGACATAAAGTTTATAAAGTCCTGGGAAACTTCTGAAAGTGCAGAGGAACCAGTCTTTTCAACCTTCAGAAAAGAAGGTGTTTTAAAGCGTCTTGGCCTGGAGTTTTCATTTATTTCTCCTGCCAAATTCCAAAGGATGATCTTCCTAGAGTTACAAATACATTTACTCATTCTGCTTCATAAGGGGTCAGAGGTTACAAAAGGAGACAGCCAAGATTTCTGTTTACTATCAAAATGCATAAAACATGCCTCTTTTTAAAAGCGGCATCAGCATGATGTTGCTTATAGTCCATAAACAAGCATGACAGCAGCTTTACAGTGAAGATGCTTAAGCATTTAGCATTAGGTTACAGATGCACCTAAGATATCTGGATGTTAGAAAGCTGCGCCAGGCAAATCTGCCTTAAGATGTACCTCTAATTCTAAAAAGCCATACTGCAGTTCAACATTTCAAGGTCAACAAAGAGAATTTTAATTTTCCTTTCTTTTTATTTAAAAAGAGAGAAAATAAACCATCTCGAGCAGGTTAGGACATTCAGAAGTTGTCACTCCTTTCCACCAGCTAAAATTAAATTAGAAGTAAATACACTGCTGTTAACTATCTAGGCTCCACTTACTTTCCCAGGATTTCTCTCAGGCACTTCATTTAGGACCCAGTTTTCAGAAGAGCTCACATCAAAGAAAGTTGGGCTTTTTATATAGTTACTCAGTTTAGTCCCAGAAGTGGTGATGAATTCTTTTGCAAATCCAGTGCACAAACTTATTTGACAACACATCACACAGAAGAAAAACGGACATATTTAAAATAATATTAGACTCTTATGACAATCAAAAATAATATTATTCACTTTATACTGTTACAACCACAGAAAAGGTTTGCACACATAGACACCCAGTCTGACTTAACTGCCACTAAGCCAAATCTATATCCTTGTCATCAAATCTTGTGATCTTGAAAGAATAAACATTGTTTTGAAACTTTTATATTCATTAAGATATTGCATGAATAAATGTGGCAGCAGCCAGGATTCACATGAAGAAAGTATACCAAACATTAATCATATAATCCACGCAAAACCATAAGGTCCAGAACTTTTATTGGTGCACTTAGTGTAAGTGAGATACTAGTGAAGAAATTATTGCGCATACCCAGAACTAAAACAGAATGCACAGCTAACAAAGCTCTCTGGAATGCACTTATAACATACATGGACACAAATTCTTACAGTATTAAGGACAGGCACTTTCTGCAATGTACAGAAATAAAACAGAACGAAACAAAAACACCATACACACCCAAACACATCCCCCCCTCTCCCCCCCCCAAAAAAAACAAACACAGGTGAAATTAGGCTTACTCATCCTTCAATAGTGTCAGCATTTCACTCTGTGTTGGTAGCTCCTGTGTATAAACAGCAGTAATTTGAATGGGAGCTTATCAGCAGTTAGAACTGCTCAGTCATTAATGTCAGCACTGTGAATTGAATGAGCTGAGTATCTGTGTAGATGGTGTTGATCTACTTACAGGCTAGCAAAAAAAAAAAAAAAAAAAAACAGGAATCTTTCCATCTCATATTTTTTCATGGAAAAGTAGTCTGGTCTGAAATTTTGGGTGCCTGTTTCTGCAGATCTCCAAATACAGCGTGGCTATCCATGCACCTCCATATTTGCGGTACTGCCTTCATCTGAGTATTCTGCATTCAACATGTCAAAATTTCAGAGCAAAAAAAAAAAAAGAAAACCATATGCATTCTTGAGGAAAGGCCAGTATCATGAATGGATCTTAAATCCCTCTTGAGTCTTGTTTTCATTTTACATGAAATAGGGACTGAGAGCACTCCTGTCTCTCCTACTCCTTAGGGGGAAGACCAATCCCCTTGAGGAAGGTTGTGTTACATGGAAAGCAAAGATAACAAGGAAGCGGAACACTCCAATAAGGCGGTCATTGAAAGATCATGTGTCATCTTATGGAGTAAAATGACTTCCTAATGTGGCGACGGGTGCTACATTACTTTATGTCCATCTAATGACCACATTTTGACTAACAGTGCTGTAGAAAAAAAAATATGCCAGGCTTGAGGACAACTAAGACAGCTGTGTTTTTAGAATACTGGATGATCATGGGTTCTACTGTGCACTCAGTACAAAGCGACCAAAATGCTTACAAATCATTTTGTTTTGAGGCCCTGAACTTCTGACAATTTGGTGCTTCGTCCCATTTCTACAATGTGTGTAACTACTACTTTTGTCAATGCTGGCTCTGTAGACTGTAAACAGGAGGGATACTAGTATATCTGTACTTAGTAATGAGAAATACTGATTCACATAACCCATGTAACAATAGGAAATACACTCCTTTCTCCTAAGACTAAAATATAAAGAGATTTTAATTATCCAGACTTTCCTTAACAATTTTAAGAGTTAAGGTGGTTTCATAGCTTGTATTGCCTGGTAACTACTGGATCACCTAATCTGGCTGCCTGTACATCCCCGGTCATTACGTATCATGCAGTTCTCCTAGACTGTCTTAACTACCAGGTGGCATTTAGGGCACAATGGGAGCTAAGATTTGTTTAAATCTTCCCAGGTGGTCCTAGCCTGGTAGTCATCTCTGCTGCTCTGACCACAGTAGGCTCTTTGCCTTGATCCTTCCCACGGTCTGTCAACCCTGTAGAGTGGTACAGAAGCAGTGAGAGCAAGTCACCCCATCTTTCTGCCAGCGTAAGAAAAAAATCTTGACATTTTAGTTAGAAATAATACCAGGCTATATAATTGCATGAAATATTAACCATGGAAATTACCTTTTCACAGGTATACTTTTGAAACACATCTTTCTGAACTTGCATTTACAATATCCCAAGATGAAAGACTTTTTTTCCCCCCTACTTTTTACCAACAATTGTTAGGCAATGGAAACCTCTGCAAGCCAGAGTTGTGGTCACAGGAACACTTGAAACACAGGAACATAGGAAAAACATAGCAAAACATAGGAAACATAGGAAGATGACAGCATGGCAGTTTCTTGAGTAGCAGCCTGCAGTTCAGCTGGATTACACATAATGTGAAGCCAAACCCTAGGCACTGCTACCAGCCTCTCACCAGGCATTATTATGCCTAACTGAGAACAACACAAGAATGCCTACATGGCTTGCAGACAGACTTCATATGATCCACCGTGACCAAATCGTATAATGTCTGCCTATCTGAACCTATCCCAGAAATGCTCAGGAATCCAAGTCCGTTAACTTCTGCTACCAATTCCTTTGCTTTGTTCTAGATCATGAATTGCTCTGGTATCAGTTTTATGTCAATGAAAGAAGAGTCTTTTGGCTGAAAATATGTGAATATACTGGTGTAAAGCCAAGTGACCTCAGTATCAAATCTATAGACTGGGACACAATCCTGCATAACCTTTCCTTAGCTGCAATAATGGACTCAGGAGCTCCATAACAGTATCCAGACTGCTCCCTTGCTTATGCCAATGCAACTTTGTGCCACCCAAAAAAATGAACTGCCGAATTGACTTTAAGTTTTATAAGTATAAAAGCTCTGGAAAAAAAAAAAAAAAAAAAGTGAAATTGAAAAAAAAAAGGGACAGTGCAAGCTAATAACAATAGTAAAAAAAAGAGAAGTTCATGGCACCAGTTCACTGCACAGTCACAGAAGTTGCCACACCAGAACAAGTAAATGGGTAATCGGGAAGCAGGAATGAACAAATGCAAGGAACTGCAAATGGACCAAAGTCTGTTTCTGCTAAATGCACCACTGAGTCTAACCTTCTTTTAAAATGTATAATGCACAACTTAGCCTAGTGGTTATGGATATTTCCATCTGGCAAGTGCAATATTAATACAAGGTTCATATTTACATATAGAACGTATTACTGTGGGGGTTATAGTCTCACAGAAGACCACCTCATTGGCCCAGATATCATTTGCTACATATAGATTTTGCTATTAAAAAGATGTAAACATCTGGAAAGCACAAAAAATGACGTAAGAGTTTGCAGGATGGCTAACTCTCACAATCTTGATCAAGTCACGTTGTTCCAGTTCCAGGAATCAGCTCCTAGCGCCAATGTCAAAAGTACTGCGTAAAGGCTCAAAAAAAAAACGAACAACAACAACAACGAAAGCATAAGAGGCAAACCCAAATCCTATTCTTTTTAATATCATAACTTTAAACTAGTCACAAGGGTTCTGATGCATGAATATATATATTTGATGCTGACAGGACTGAATCTGGACATTCCTTTTCTGTTCTGTAGTCAAAAAAGACTGCCCAGTGTGACCCACTGCCCATGTGGATCCACATGGGATCCAGATGATTTCAGTGAAAGGTTATCACCATCTACCATCTGGTATTAAAGCTAACAAACTCCAGTTACCATCCAAGTTACCCTACAGGACACAGTGACACTGAAACTTCATCATTAAAAAAAAATCTTTTAATCACTTTTTACGGTTCATATTAAAACAAACAGATCCCAATCCTTAGAGCATCCTTCCCCAACACCTAGAGAACTGTATTCAGGGGAACACCAGGTAGCAGAAATCCTTTGCTGCACTACATTGATGTCCCTGTGCCTTGTACAGGAAATTGGGAAAAATGAAAGGTGATCTTCCAGAACAATTCCTCTTGCTAGACTGATCTACCAGGAGCAAAGGCAACTGGTTCCAGTTAAAGCAGCACTTAAGTGTGTTGCATAACAGATTTTAAGGACACCACAGCAGGGATTGGTCAAAGATTAGAAGAATTAAAGGGAAGGTTTTGTCTCCCTCACTTCACTTTTTTACGAAGAAATTGCATTGAAAAACAATCTAGCATTATTATAAAATCATGTTTCACATATTGAAGGTGCTCAGAATCTTTAGTATCCAACCTGCAATCTGAGAAACACTGAAATGCACAGAAGACAGGCCTTTGCTGGTATAAGCATTGCATTGACCACACAGTAAAAAGAACTCAACTAATAAACATTCTCAGGACCAAAAAAGCACATCTTGCTGTTATTTCCAGAACAGTATTTCCTTCTGTATCTCACTTATGGAAGTGTTTACTAAAGCTAAAAGTACCACCTCTTTTCATTCATGTGGAAACATACAGAGCACTATTATAGAGTTCTCTCTTTAGCCTGCTTCAGTCATATAAGCAGAACTTGGAAGCCACCAAGGGAACACCTTTTTCAACAGAGAATGTGGGTAACTGGCACACAGGTGTAGGCTCTTGCAGCCAAGTTTATGCTCTTGCTTTAGACATATCACAATCATACCCATACATCCATGTTTTTACTGCATGCATTTGATCTGTGTAGTTCAGAGCATCTCCCATGATTCTGAGTATTAAGATTCCTTCCCGGTCAGCTATGCTAACTCTGAATTTGTCCAGCCCTCCAGGGGAAAATTGTTGGGAGGGCACTGTAGAACTATCAGTACCTTAGTGATCTACCCTGAACTGTCAAAGCAAGGTAGGAAGGTTCCAATTCAAACAAAAGCACAGTCTGAGCTTTAATCCAGACAAAAACCTAGAGCTGCATATAGCCATAAATCTTATGCAAGCCTGATCCCAGAGTACAGAGTACACAAGTGAGATGGTGTGAGAGAAGATCACAATCCCCTCGTTCCTCCTCTGACACGCAGTTCACTTCTGCTCCTTGCACTGCCAACAAGCATGGACAGCTCCATGGGGCAAAAAAAAGAGGAATACTAAAATACGAGCATGCTGCTCAGTTTTGTCCTTTGGGGAAAAAAGGCAGAAGTTGCTCTAACTTCATCAGAAACACTGCATTTTGCAGCGGCATTACACTTTATGAGCTCTGGCGAGGTCTCTGTCCCATTATTAAGTCAGTGAGGAGGAAAGAGATGGTTATGCAATACCAGCATGTATGCTGTTCATTCCCAGTCACTTAACTTTGAATTAATATAATTTCTAAGACTGTATTTTCCACCCCAAAGCCTGGATAGCCCATAAGGTAGGTTTTCATATACCAACAGCTTAAAGATCCCATGTAAAACCTTGCTTAATCAAGTCTATATGAAATAGGTTGCAACCTGTCTCTAACACAGTGTTTTGAGAGTGAATCATTGTATTCTGGCTGTCACCTCTTAGTGTTATGTACACAAACTCTCAGCCCTTTCCAGAAAGCCAAACATCGAGGAAAAGCATTACACTTAAAGTTTCAATGTCATTTGAGTTTCCTAATAGCAGGGTTTTCCACAAACTAAGTTACAAGGCTCCACAATGCTGCAGAAACAGTAGGGAGGAATGTTCCTTCTTCCTAGTGTTCCCTCCTGCTAATTTTGGTCATACAGACTGTGACAGTTTGTGTGGAGCTTAGTTCTCAGACCAGCTGCAGCAGTGCGCTGTAGGGGCTGCACAGCAAAAGTCCTGCTGCAGGATGCATCAGGGAACTACTTGCTATAAACTATGCTGCACTCTTTTGTTCATGTGCCAACTGGCAAATAGCACTGCTGCCACACAGATCAATCCGAATCCAGTCCAGAAAGGTTACATTATATATTCACATACAAACATACTGTGATTGTTCCAACTTCTTTTCTTACTTCTCACTAAACTGAACCAACAGGTTGCTGCAGTTCTAACCAAGATCCCACTTTGACCAAGTAGGCCATGATCAGGACTCTTCAGGTATCAAGGACAACAGCATTAGTTGGAGCAGCTAGCCAAGTCCCAGCGATCCTCTGTCATGCATGGCATGCCCAGCGTCCTGAACCAACTTCACTCTCAAGTGCTCACACATCCTCCCTCACCGTCCCAACCAAGGCCAGCACTTACTTGACTCCGGCCAGTCATTGCTAGCTTTGCGTGGCTGGAGAACCTGCCGCTGGCCAGCTCTGGCCCCGGCGAGCCCGGCCCCGTGGCTGGGGGGCTCCCTGACGCCTCTGCCATCCACTCCCGCGGCAGCCCCGCCGAGCGGCCGAGGGCCTCCACCTGCAGAGCCAGGCGCTCCAGCTGTGCCCGCAGCCGGCAGTTCTCCTCCTGCAGCTCAGAGACGGTGCGTGCCAGAGGACTTGCGAGACGCAGCACCTCCTCGACCTGTCGGCCCACCCCTTGCTTGAACACCTGGATGTCCACGTGGATTTCCCTGACGGCGCCGCGCAGCGTGTCCTCGTAGCGCCCCAGAGCCTCGCATACGCTCTGCGCGTCGTGGCTGTTCAGATCCGCGATCTCGCTGGCCATGGCGTCTGCGGCTCGCCGCCTGGGCAGCGCAGCCGAGGCGGAGGGCGGCTCAGCAGCCGCCGGCGGCACACGGTCGGCCAGCTCCCCGTCTGTCCCGAGGGCGGGCGCACGAGGCCCCTGCGCACAGCAGCCGCTGCCCCGGCGGCCACGACGCCTGCCACCTCCAGCTGCCGGTCGCGGTCCAGTCCCTCGGCGCGGGAGGAGGGAGAGAAAGAAAAGGGAGGGGAGGGGCAGGAGGAAGGGGAGGGGAGGGGAGGGAAAGGGGAGCTGGAAAGGCTGAGGGAGCGGGGTGGTTGCTCGAGGCCGCCGCGCTCCGTGAATGCGCCCTCAACGCGGGAGATGTAATTTCAGGAGGGCACAGCAAAAGATAGAAGACGAAGGGGCGGGGACAGCAGCTGCCAACGGGCTTGACTGCGGGGCGCTGCGAGGGGGGTCACGGCGCAAGCAGAGAAGGGACTACGGGAACCGGTGCGGAGAAGGGAAAGAAATGCCTGGGAGATGGGGTCACGCAGGAGTGAGGAGGGGTGCGCATCTGGTCTTTGCTCTCTTTCCTGTATTGCTTGGATAAGGACGCTATAGTCGCCCTGGCTTATTACTTCCTGTGTGAATACCGAGACAAACAGGCTCTGGGAGAATAAAGACGGAGAAGCATACTCATTGCACACATGCCTTTTGAAATACATGCTTATGTGGGTCTTCACACCTACACTTGGGAAGAGATTGATTATTCTATTTTTGTCTGCTCATTGCATAGTAAACAGCTTTTGGTAGTATTTCTATAGTATTATGGTGTTAGACATACATGCATGACTATACATCTCTACATAGGGTAGAGTATCATTTTGCCCAAAGGTATTCAGGGAGTATGCTGAAATATCCTTTTCAATGGCAAATGGGGATGAGAAAATAATACTCAAGCATTTCTTGGAAGATTTAATGGGCCACTTCCTCAACACGCATAAAATGATAAAGCTCCACTGAATTTGATGAAAGGAAGCTACGCTACACTGGCTGAGGATCTCACTACATCTTTATAAATCACCGAGGGAATTTTTTTAACATCTCAGGTCTGATCTGGACGTTAATTTTATGGAAGCATCTAGAAGACACTTCTATGGCAGTGCAAGTGGGAAGAAAAAACAACTCTCCCTTTAAGGTTTTTTTAAGCTTTTAAGAATTTTAAAATCTGACATCCTTCCTATCCTATCCCCCCTGCCTTTCACCCAACTCTCTTACTTTTTTTTTCAGGGACTGGAAAGCTTATTGGACTGGGATGGAACTTCCTTTCAGTTCTCCACTGTGAGAAGACGAGCTCAGAATTGGCATCTGCTGACTTTGTTTTTATTGTGAGGTAGGATGATGAACAGTTTGAAAGAGGCTTTCAACTTTTGCACAGATCTGTGTGGGCTGGGCAGCCTGTTTCCTCTTGCAGGATTTGCATTAGTGTAAACAGTGACATCATGTTACTTATGTCCTTTGGTTCATGATGAGGTTCCACAGAGAGCCTTCCTCCACTACTTTCAATTTTCAGGATCAGCATTTACTACAGCCCTTCCTGGTTCTCTTATGTTGCAACCTTAGCAGTTGGCAGTGTGAACTATAGCCTTCATTGCTCACCACCTTGCAGGCAATGTCTGGCTATGAGATCTTCTCACATTACTTCTTCCATATGAGATTTTACGGTAAAAAGACCAGGCTAACCAAAGGAGAGCAAGTGATGGCCTGCAGTGAGTTACACATTCAGTATTGTTGCCCAAAGGCCAAGACTGTTGAAGAAAAACAGCTGTAACTGCATCTGGCCTATGAGGCTCCAGTGCTGAGCAGTAAGCAGTAAGTAAGCCTTCTAACAGGACTTTAATTCAAAGGAGCCTCACTGAAAGGTATCCTGTTGTCAGATGCAAGAGCCTAAAGTAGTCTCATCAGGCATGTTTTCTTTGCATGGCATTGTGTAAATCATTTTGCCTTATACCTCTATTTCCCCTTCTGTAAAATATAAAGTATTGATGCATTTACAGCATCAGTAATTGCAGCACTGTAAGAGTTAATTAATGTGCCTATTTATATAAGCATATTAGACTGTGGCACATACACAGTTTCATGCATTTTTTTTTCTGATAATTAGATCAGATACATGATTTATTCAGCTCTCTAGAGATTTAATTATCTTTCACATGAGCTCTATATCTTAGTTTTGTAGCACAGTAAAGGTGATGTTTTATTTTTCTGCAACTCATTTACAAAGATATACTTTTCATAGCGGTAGTACCTTACAAAACTCCGTGTGCTAAACTGTAACATAAGACAGCTAGCTACTCAGTTAAATTCTTTCAAGCCAAATACAGTTTCTGTCTTTCGGAAGAGAGAAGGGGAGGAAGGGGGATTCTTACACTAATAGTTTTTCCATTTGTACTGGAACATTCTTATGCAGAAGCCAGACCTCTAAGCACTATTTTTTGATAAAATCTGTCAGTCACTGCAATTGTTTTTTACCTGCACAGTAGTATGTGAAGTCCTATAAAGCTTCGGTGATTACATGTAGTGCAAATGGTAGACTAACTACTATAATAAACATGTTTGTTCACTAAGGCTACTGAAAGATTTTGTTAAGCCACCACATCCTGTTAATGATCCATGAGATGTTAGCCAACCATGAATAGGCTTTGCTTGCATAGGAACAAGTTTGCGAGACCAAGAGATTATGTACCTAGATAGGGACCAAGAGATAGCCAACTATTTTGCATACAATGGGATGAAACAGAGGGCACTGAGGAAGACTATCTGCCTTCCTCCAAAATGACCATCAGAAGGCAGATAACGGCCACCTAGCAACAGCCGGCGCAAGCACATTCTGACTGAGCAACATCAACAACACACAGCGCAGACTCAACGGAACCTTCGAAAAAAAAACACCAAAGGCGGGACTTGGACTCAATATAAATACTGAGACTTTGGGGACTTGAGTGGGGCCTGAGAATGATTACCTCCAGGCTGCCCCAGCGCTGTCACCCTTTGTATCCAGCTTACTTTAATAAAATGGAGATGAGAAAATTGGCTCGCCTCATCTATGACAACTACCAGGTAGGTAGGTAACTATAGTGCCAAGGCTGCTCTAACAGAAGCTAGGCTAGGATTTGCTTCTGCTGACATGGACACCTTCAACACATGATACCTAATTTAAAGCAAGCAGCCATGTACCTAGAAAGTACAAAACTAGTCTATCCTGCAGACAGACACATTTTACAATTCCTCTGTAGCAAGCTGCTCTATGCAGAGAATATTTTTTCAAAATATGGTAGACTGTATTCGTAGTCTGCTTCCCTTAATCAGAAAATTCTTGGCAGACTCTTGAAAACTTTGATCTTTTCAAAATATAGAAATATAGAAATACATTATTTGGATACTTTAATCCAACAGTGAAAACCTTTCCTTCCTAATGCTAATGCTAATGCTAATGCTAATGCTAATGCTAATGCTAATAATAATAAAAGGCACAGCCCTTGGCAACAGTTTTAAACCAGTACTCTGCATAAGAGTGACTTCATACTGACAAGTAGAAGGATAGTGCTGTGCACGGGCAGCTTGTTCAAGAGCCAGTCAACTTTCAAGAATATTTATATGGTATCTGCAAGGGAAGAACATTATTGCCTCTGCCAAAGTAAACATGGGCTTTTCATCTTCTCTAAGTCCTGACTAACACTCAAAGTATCTTTGCAATTTACATATCAAAAACATCGGTATTCCCCTCCCTGGCATCTCACCTATGAGTGTCCTGAGAAGGTTCAGAACCAGTGAGAAGCAGGTCATGTGGCAGCCCCTCCATTTTTTGCTTCTTCATTCTTTGCTAAGCACCATCCTAATGACCCCTTGCCCTCTGATAATACTGAGGGGACCGGCCTTTTCAAAGCTGTGCTGGGAAACTGGCTGAAGAAAAGCAGTCAATTAACCAACTTCTCCTCATTGCCAAATCCTGTGCTCTGTAAAGATGACTTGTTTGAGATCTGCTGCCAAATATAGAAGATTTGCCAGTGTTAGTCCGTAATCCCAGTAATCACCCGCACGCTCAACCTGGTGGTTTAAAAGCAAGCTTTATTAGCCGGCCGGTGGCGGACTGCTTCCAGATTGTCCTGAGATCCGCGCTGTTTGAGGAGAGGTTCGTGTTTTTATAGACGACTACAACTTCTTTGTTAAATGTTATTTATGACCACCATTGACTAACTCCCCTTTTCACAATCCCCTTACCATTTGGCATGTTTGGAATCTTATCTCAGGGTCACGGCAAAAGCAACAAGAGCAGGGTATGTATCCTGTTAGTCCTTATACTCCCTTGTAGCAAGCGATATTTACAGAAGCAGATGGCAAGGTTAACTATAAATTACTTGTTAGTCCTTATCCTCCCTTATAGCAAGCGAGATTTACAGAAGCGGATGGCAAAGTTAAATGTAAATTACATAGCTTATATCTTATACATCTTCAGCATGCAAGCTTTATTTACAGAAGCAGAAAGCACGATACCCTGTAAACCCCTTATAGGCCTTACACCAGTAATGTACCAGAAGCAGTATCAAACTTTTCCAAAAAGAAATGGGCTTGGAATTCAGAGTAGAAAGCACCTTTTCATACTAAAAATACACCATCAGGATATGGTTACAAAACACTCTGAAATGTTTTGTATGGACTAGACCTACGGGTGCCATGTATTAAGGGTGGAAAAAATTTCTTTCTTATTCTTCTTAAAGACAGCAGTTTTCTTATTTTTCATGCCAGACTGGAAGCTTCTAAAATTACATGTCTAATTAGTTAATGTACTCGCCTGAATGACTCTAGCCACTCTGCCAGAGGCATTCTCCCTGTCCAAGTCTTCATCCTTCATCCTGCCACAGTTCCCCTACCTGCAGAACATGGCTAATAATACTCCCTAAGGGTAAAGCTCTGTCACTTGACCACTTCACCTAATATGGCATTCAACTGTTTTGATCATGAACTACAGGCAGCATTTGGCATAACTTGAAGCTCCCGGTACCCCCATAAGAAGTAATTGTAACATTGGCACCGTTCATACGATGGCATGTCATCTTAACTATCATTTCTTGGCACATTCACAGTTTGGGATTGGAATTTAGATGACTGTAACTGACTGTCAGAATACATGTTCCAGCTGTTCAGACATGGCATTTTGCCCACCTACACTGGTTTGCTCCCCTCCTTCTGACAGATCCCAGGCAACCAGAATTTAAGCAGTAGCCTGCATGACAGCTTAAGCCTTCCATAGGGAGATCATTGCCTATGTCAGCAAGTTCTAACGTTCTGGCATCTCCCACAGCTTACTATTGCCTGTCATTTGTATACTAAAATTAATCATTTAACCAAAGAGGGGACAAATTGAGAGAACAAGATTCAAAGTTCTAGTTCATTGACCACAAGACAGGTTGGATTAGGGGTATTTAAAACACATCATAATGACTGACAGTGACAAAGTGCAGTTGAAAAGATACTACTTGTAAAAGCACCGGATTAAAGCAGGCATGTTCATCTTATTAAGCAAATAAGGAATGACTGCACCCCCGAAATGCATATTTGCTCATTTGGGCTCTGATTCAGCAAGAGGATCACACCTAAAATACATAAACTTGTATCTGGCTGCTTCTGTTCCTAAAGTCAGGGATATTCCTGAATGTTTTGTTGTACTTCAACACAATGCAAGAAGCCAGTGCCAAAGCAACTGTAGACCAAAGCAACAGACACAGGAAACAGCAGAAGCTTTGCATATACCGTGTGAAACAAGATTACTAGCGGAAGGCAAATACACACACTATAGATTGCTAGGAACTTGACATGATTTGCCAGTGTTGCATGCAGATCAAGACAGTTCACTGCAGTCATAGTTCCAGAGTCCTGAAAATTGAATGTACGCTACAGCTGCATAGATGCATAGTCATGCATCCTTGCAAATTTGTTCCCCCTTTGATGTCATTATTAAGTTTGTTTAACTTTATTAACTGTTTTCATTTCTTAATTCATTTTTTTCAGACATGTTAACAGAGCAATTAGAACAGAGATCAGCAGCTTGTCTCTGGTTTTCTCTCTGGCATTGATCTTTTCAATAACAGTTGGGCAAGTTACTTAATTTCTGAGATTGCTAAAGATGAAAGGCCCTTTATATACACCAAAACTGGTGTGAAAGGAAGTAGATGTGATTTATGTTTGCCGGAAAATTTCTTTAGAAAGTTAGGCTCATATAAAGAAAGTGGCTTTCACTCCACAGCATCTAGGTTATAATATTAGGTTCTGTAACTTGGTCTTTCAAGACAGCACTGCTGACAGACTTTTACATTTGGAATCATAATTAAGCACTGTGGAAAACAAGATGATAATGCTCAGAAGACTTTCCACATTCCACCCTTTAGAAATTCCTCTTCTGTAGGGAAGCGTAGGGACGGGTCTGTCACCTCCCACTGTTCAGTGTTTGAAAACAGAAAACTGGCCGTTTACTTCCATCAGCCCCAGAAAGCATACCTTCAAAGCTGATGAGGCTATACTTTGATGAAACTGGTGTCAGCAGAGCAAGCAAGGCCAGCCCATTGACTGTGAGGCAGTTCTGCCCAGCTGAGAAAAGAGATAGGCTCTCTTTGTTCTCAAAATGATCTAGTGCCTTCATAAGGGACATTTCACTGTGTTGAGTGTTACCATCTCTTCTCCCCACAAGACAGGAGAGAGTGACCTTGTCATTTCTCCTTGCTCGTTTTAATATCCTATCTTTCCTGTCCCCTTCTTCCACCTGTAGTCTTTCTCAAACTCCTCCATGCTTTCCTATCTATTACCTCATAAAACCTTTCTCTTCCCTCACTGTAGTTTTCTAATTAAGGATAATCAATATGCTTTTTATGCACACTTTTCAAATAATATTTTAACACGAAGCTCCCAGCACAGGATCTGGGGGAACAAGAAGCGGGGAAAGCTTAGAGTGAAAGAAAAGAAATCTAGATTACATCAAATGAGTGTGATGAAATAAACAGTGGTATGATTGATTTGGTCAACACTCACTAGATTTTACAGACTGAGATGGCAGTGTGTATATATCTTTCCTGACCAGTACTTTATGCTTGTATAATATGGGTAGGTTTGTCCATGAACACTTGAGAACTAAAGCCTGAGCTAAGGAATCCTCACTTAAAAAAAAAACAAAATTTTCCTACACTCAACTTAAGTCCTACTGATTTCAGACCTTTAAACACATCAGACTAACCTAAGAGCAAAGTAATCCACCAACATTTATGTACCAAGTATTTAAAGAGGTGCTCTAAGTATAAAAAGATCCAAATATCACGAAGGCAGATTCTAGAATGAGATCAGTTGGTTGCAGATGAACATTCGTTCATATGAGGTTTCACAGTTCACTTGCGCATGAGGTTACATGGTTTTAGCAATTAAATAAAGCAGCATGATCACTGTTTATATTAACAATTTCTTCTCCATAATTAGAATTAATATGCAAAACTATTGAAAATAGCTGAAGATAACAATCAGTGCATATGGGATAATTGCCAGAAGTACTCAGTTATGTAAAATAAATGAGGGCAGCTTTTCTGCATCATCTCTGT